CTCCTAACTATTATTTCACACATGTTATAAGTCATCATCATCAGAGAGAGACTTACAGCTGCTTTGTTCACTCCTGGAAATCAGCTTCTCAAGAGCAGCTTTTCAGGGGGACCTTTGCAGCTGCAACACTGAGGTAAGAAGGAGTGCTGAGTGGTCAAGTTTCAGGGCAAAGCTCTAACTGCAAAGAAAATAAAACAAAACCCAAGCCATCCTACGCGTATCTAGTGACAGATATACTCCAGCAATGTTAAATTATGCAAGCTGTCCCAGACTTTTGACAGAACCACCATAATTCACCCCAAATTCCCATTATCCTAAAGGTATAGAAAAGGCTGAGGTAATAGCTCTGTGTAATCAAGTTGGAAAACATCTGCCAAAGTAAACCTTTATTTAGTGCTTAATATACAGTATTTATAGAGCAAACCTGCTATGGAAATGAATCTTGTTGAAGCTACTTTAATCAGCGGGTGCTGGTTACTCTCCCCAACTTTCTGTTTATTCTCCCCACCCCACCCCCTCTGAAACCCTAAGCATAACCTAGGAAATCAGGCCCAGTGAAGTCAGGACCCATTTAAATGACTCCACAATTGGCACAAAGTATTAGCCCAGGTGGCATTGCACATGCCCCATGCCTTGTCAAAACAGATACTTAGCCACTATGTGCACAAAAGCAGCAACTGACATAGTAGCCCGCCCTGAACTCTGCTGTGCTAGTGCTGCATACACAGACAAGGAAAATCAGTTTAAATAAGGCTCCAAGTTATGTCCTCCTTGTTCACCCGGCATCACTCTGAACTTTGCTCCCAAGCACCCATCTTTAAACTGCTGTCATTATGTTCATCCTCAGCATCTTCCCAAGATAATGGCAACTGTGGTAGAAAGCTCAGATTGCAAACAAACAATTTGATGCCATTAGGTGCAGCATTACCTGCCACCTGAAGTGCTCTGCATCCCTGATTACCCATGTGGCAAACGTTCCATGTGAATGCTACTTGCAACAGGCCCCATGGAGCAAGAAATGCAAAAACAACAACTGAAGAGCATCCAAAATGAACCCCAAAAGAAAAGAGAATGTGTCCCAAAGGGCTGAAAATAAAATGTGGGTTTTATTTTTGTGAATATCTGTTCAAAGGTCTTCTTCTGCGGCTACACTGAGAAACAGCCTGCAGGGTTCTCTGTTAGATACATCTCCTGTTAACATAAATTCACAAGTTAATTTTAATGGGAGATGTATCTAACAGATATCTTCCTATGAGAAGCGTAGACCAATGGTGCATTCAGACCATTTGCACCCACATTGGTCATCAACTCATGAGTCGGGACCTACTCCTTCACCACAGCCTGATCTAAGGTGGGTTGCAATGGCAGTACTACCACTCTACACACCTCTGTGTCAAGTTGTGGGTCATGTTAAAAAGCTACAGAGGCAGAGAGCCAGGTGGCAACCATGTCACCATGTTATTTTCCAAGGACAGAATTATGACCAAACAAAATTCTGTTTCCAAAAGCAAAATGCATAGGAAGACAGAATGCACTGTGGCTGAGAAGGCAGCTAGTTCAGAATGGGAAAGAATGAGAATTGCCCTGTTGGATCTGACCCAAACACTATCCAGATAGCTCTGGGAAGCTAACAGGCAGGACAGGAAACCAATAGCCTTCTCTAGCATGTTTGTCCAGCACCTGGTACTAAGGGGTATACTCCACTTGGTTGTGGAGGTTCCATTAAGCTATCATGGCTAATAGCTGTTGACAGACCTCCATGAGTCTAATAATCCTTTTCAAAGCAGTTTAAGCTGTCAGCCATCACTATATCTTGCAGCGGTTGAATTCTGCAAGTTACGCAAAGAAGCCTGCCTTGAAAAGGGCTGCCCTGTCAGCTTCATTTGGTAAATCTTAATTCTAGGGTTGTGAGACAGAGAAGGAGCAGAGGGGAACTTCTGATCAGAATACATGCAGCCTACTTCTAACATAAGGTGACGACAGATGGCAACATCTCTAGGATAAAACTAATATACCCTAGAGAAAATCCTGCAAAGGCAAAAAAAGAAAAAAGAAAAGCACAAGCCCTAAGAACTGCACTTTCCGTAAACACAATGAGCCAGCTCTGTAAGAGGAGATGCCTACATGAATAAAGATAACAGCCAGTCGAAAACAAAGGTCTGCTTCATATGTCAACGCCGGCTTGACACAAGTACACAGTAAATATTTAGCATGCAGAATTTAATACTACCACCACATAAAACAGGGGCAACTGTATGTGCTCAGTTTCTCAAATGGCATACCCAGCACACACCTGGGGAGCAACTCTGGTGCCCTGCAATGTGCTTTCACGAACACAGCAGGACGAATATGCAGAGCTAAGGCTGTCTTTAGAGAACAGAGGCTCATGGCCTCAACCATACTGCATTCTCACTGTGCACAAAGCTCTCAAGAAGGTTTGGCTGGCTGTTCACACAGATCTGTGAAAGGGGCTCATGCCACCAGCCACACTGCCCCTAAACACCAGCACTGGCCAGCCACTGACAGTTTGTGTATGTTTGGCATGAGTGTGTATGCAAGGCTCTGAGCAGGAACCCTGGCCAATCCCATTCTAACATTTGCAGATTCACTGAACACATGAAAAGGGGTTTGTTGTCTGGACAGCTCTGTTCAGAGGCAGTATTAGAAAACTCTGAGTTTGCTTGCCGCACCTTTGTCACAAGCATAACCACTTAAGCTGTCATGACTCCTAATGCTTTGAGCCTGTTGGATATTATTATTATTTATTTGAAAACAAAAAATATTAATAATATCATTTCCATGGATCTCAAGGTGGTTGTCCAATTTCTGTGTCACAACAGCCCTGCAAAGTAGGTGAAGCTGAGCGAAGATGACTGCTCTAGTCATTTGGACCCAGGTCTCCATTGTCTGAACTCCCAGTTTATCACTGCCCCAATACAATATGCTGCACTGTACAATATTTAATATGTACCTGCTTCTCCTGGAACCCATGAAGCAGTCCTCAGACATCCCAGAATACTCTGTCCTATGATTGCTTTCTGGCACTACTGTTTCACAAAGCCTGAACTAAACAATGTCTCTGGCATATACAGTGGTTCTTCAACGGAGCAAGCATTTCCCGCTGCACACATTGACACATGTGATAATAAATAACACAAGCCTGTGAAAGCAGACAGAGAGTCAAGTGTAGCCAGCCAGCAGGGGCCACAGCAGAGGAATGCAAGAGTTGTTAAAAGCACAGCTGCTTTAACCAACTAAGCACAAATAAATGGGTTGGTGAGAGTTATACGGTAGTTATCTTCTGCAAGATGCAACATTGTCCACACTTCTCAAAACTGCACATTGCCTTCTGTTTAAAGAAGACCCCCATTAGCTATGCTTCTTGTTTGGATTAAATTGGCACTGCTCTGTCCAGCTATAGCTGTGAGGCACAGAGTTAATCACACACTATTTATAGGTTGTGTGTGTGTGTGTGTGTGTAGCAGTGTACTTAAAAAAAGAAGTGTACCTGTTTCTCCCTTGACTGTCTCCTGAGGCTAGTGTGGTAGACTGATTTGGCCAGGAAAGATCAGTATTCACACCTTCACACACTCCCTGAAACAAACGGATCAAGCTGCTCACATTCACCATGCTGTCATTAGGTCTAATCTACTTTGTAGGGTTGTTGTGAGGATAAACCTGAGGTGAGTGAGTGAGAAAGGGCCATGCGTGAACAAAACAATGAATAAAATGAATTCGCTGGATTCCCAACCAATATCAAGAGGCAATTTTTTTTAATTTTCTTTTTTAAAATCAGCTTATCTAGAGACATTTGTCTTGGCAGTTATTTATTTATCTACCCACCAGGACAGAGTCGTTTAAAACTATCCTGAAACAGGCTGTGCGAAACAACTAAAAAAAGGGCTACCTTTATCCACTTCAATCTGGATAGAGAGCTATACACATGACTTTCGAGATATATATGTGAGAATGACTTCTTTTTTAAAAAGAAAAAAAATGACAGCGAGATGTGTGTGAGGTCTGGATGACTTGATGCAGCCCCAGATGTTTACAAGACTCTCTCAGGGATGCAACTTGAGACCGTTTAAAGCAGGGCAAGGGGGAGAAAGAAAGGACTGACAGGACGCCACCAAGCCACACATAGAATTTGACAACACAACACACACACACACACACACAAAACCCGTGTGTATCACGGTATAAACTCCATAGGGTACCAGCTTTTCCAGCTAATGAAATTTAGGGGGGAATTGAGAAGAGAACCCACTGGCCATATAAAAGAGATCTTGCTCGTTTTATCTGCCAGTTGCCCTCCCCTCCCTTTGAAGAGTTCGCCCCTCAATTTAAAAGCACTGTCAAAAGAGAGCATTTGCTTCGTGTCAGGATACCGCCAGAGCTCCCTCCGCCCCAGCCCCTTCCTTCACTTCGCCGAGCCTTTTGATGTGCCGGGTCTGAGTGTGAGCAGACACATTCGCGCGCACCGGTTTTATTAATTCATTTTTGACACTTTCTAAGTCGTGCTCGGAACTTTCCTGGCTCTTGCCGTCTTTCCCGACGACCTCACACTTTCCTGCCCCGGCTGAGGCGCAGCAAAGGGCCGGTTGGTTATTCCAGTGACGAGGGAGAGACAGCGCTGACCTGAAGGGATGCTGAGAGAGGCAGGGGGAGAGAGAGAGAGAAAGCTTCACGGTGAAAGCTTCTCTCTTTCTTCTCCACAGTGATTCCACCTCTGAGAGAGATGGAAAGGACGGTAATAGTAACGCACTAAGCCATTTCAACAGTGCCTGGGAAGTGATTTGTGAAGAGAACTTCGCTCACACACATAAAACCAGGGCGCAATTCCGCAATTCCTCTCGCGCGCTCGGTTCCAAAACCCTCAGAAGGGCGAGGGCGCCTCTGAGCGCGCGCAGAGCGCCAACTTTCCTTGCGCGACGCCACCCTCCCCGCGTTTCGAGGGAAAGGCGAAGAGGAGGAAAAAAAGAAAAGAGAGGGAGACTTACTATAAGGGCAGTTCTCCCTCTTGGTGCCGCTGACGTTGCCGTTCTTCTCAATCCGGAGGAAGAACTTGTTGTAAGAGTAGAGCTTCCTCCAGCGCACGTCTCCTCGGAGGTGGTTGTAGCTCCGCACGTGTCTCCCCGCGCTGGCGGGCGAGGAGGAGGAAGAGGAGGAGGATGGCGACGACGACGACGAAGAGGAGTTGGTGGCCTTGAGGAGCAGCATGCCTTGGCCGTGCTCATGGCAGGGGGCAGCCAGGGACGACGACATCCAGAGCAGCAGCAGGAAGACGAAGCTGCGGCGGCGGCGGGAGGAGGAGGAGGAGGAGGAAGAAGAGGAGGAGGAGGAAGGCAGGTGGGCGAAGGCTGAGGCACCCTGTATCAGTCTCCATTTGCACATTGTACTGAAGCTCTGGGCGCGGGGAGATGCCTCATGAAAAGAAACATACTGGAAGGGGGAACCCCGGGGAGAGGCGAGGGGACAGCTGATGGGGAGCCCTCCTGCTCACAGACCTCGGCGCGCTGATCTGGCCTGGAGGGAGGGCGCCGACTTCCATGCCTCAGGGGGCCAAGCGCTCCGCAGGAAACGGTGCCTTCGCTCCACTTTGGGTTCCCCCACTTCCACTCGCTCTCCTTGGTTCGGTTTCCTTCGCCCTCCTTTTATTAATCCTTCGAGTCCTTTCCAAAGACGCACAAGCGCGCGCGCACGCACACACACACACACAAAGTTGCCTTACAGTTTTCTGGGCGAGCTGAGGCGGTGGTTTGGCTTGCAGGTTTTCTTGGCGCTCTTTCTCTTTCTTTCTCTTCCCTCAGGACTTTCAACCCCCCATCACCAAACTCCTGGGGGTTGGTTTGCCGCTTTGCTGCTGCTGTTGCTGCGAGCGCGCGAGGCTATTTCGCCCTGTGCACCATCTCTCGCAGAGAGGCAAGGAGGGAAAGTCTGCAGAGAGAGAGAGAGAGAGAGATGACAAGGCGGGTGAGCGACGACACTTGCAGCGGAGGAGGTGGTGGTGGACAAGGGGGAAAAAATCCGGGAGAAAGCAAAAACGAAACGGGAGGGGGGTCAGCGCCCCCCCACCCTGAACAACTTCTGCACCTTCCTCTCACCGAAGCCCAGAAACGCAGTCCTTCTCAGAAGCAGAAAACAGGGGCTTGCACCCCCCTCTCTTGAATCTTCCAGAAATAGATAGATATCTGTATCTCAAATATATACTGTATCTATATATTTTCTGAAAAAAGAAAAAGGAAAAAAGATTGCAAAACAAGTCCTTTCCCCCTCTCTCTCCGTAGGGTTGCCAACAGGTTGGAAGCTGTATCCTAAATGCTAGAGATTAGGAAGGAGAGAGGTGGGACGTGCCTCTGGTGGTCAAGTTTTATTTGCAGGGGGTCAAGCAGCGGTGCTGGGACATCTGAAACCCTTTTGCAAGTTGCAATGAGCAAGCGCCTACTGGGAGCGGGAGAGAGAGAGAGAGACTCCAGCAGAATCTGCCCTTTTTCCTTTTCCTTTTCCTTTCTTTTTTTCCTTTTTTTGCTTCTTCTCCTATAGCAGCAGCAGCAGCAGCAAGCAGCAGCCTTCAGCTAATTGCTCCTCAAGCAGTCCTTCTGGCCACCAGCATGGCTTGAGAGACTCATGCTTTACTAATTTTCCTGTCTTCCCCTCTCAGCCAATCCCCTCTAGGGAGCCCTCCTCCTTCTCCCCCTCTTTTTAAAACTTGTTTTCTAGAGAAGGATTTTTATTTTATTTTTTTGGCAGTGTGTAGTTGAGAGCCACCTGGTGCTTGTTGCTTTGCTGACGGACTCTCTCTCCCTCCTCCTCCCGCCCCAAGCACCCCTTCTATAAAGAAAGGAGGCCGTGTGGGTAAGATCTGGAAGAAAGGATATAAGTGCAGACAAATTCTAAGAAAGCAGTTTATAAGCTGGTCAGAGGGAAATACAGATATCCATAATTAGCTCCCTTTGCTTCCCCTCCTGCTAACTTCCCTGGAGGTCTCCAGCGCGCTCTCGCTCTCTCTTTTTCTTTCTTTCTTTCTTTCTTTCTTTCTTTCTTTCTTTCTTTCTTTCTTTCTTTCTTTCTTTCTTTCTTTCTTTCTCTCTTACTCCCTCTCCCATTTATTTTAACGAATCAATGATTTCTGGCTTCCGTTGCTGAAACAAAAAAAGGGGGGACTACACTTTTAAAGCTTACTCTTCCTTTTGAGCGTCTCGAGATTTATCACTCCCCAACTCACCGTGAAATAAGCCCCCCTTAAATGAGCCAATTTCTAATTGCTAACATGACTCAACTTACCAAATCACGCCTTGGACTTCAAAAGAAAATAAGAGGGGGAAATGGGGGGGGGACGACTTTTATTGGCATTGCAAAGGTTTGCCCATAAAATCTGTCTGTTTTTTTTTATTATTATTAATGCAATTTCCTTTACCAGAAAGAAGCACATTTTCCATTTTGAAACCTTTTTTTTTTTTTTTGGTAACCATCTATTGTTTATGAAGGGCAAGTAGTGATTTATTTCCCACAGAAGGTGCTGTTATTATCCACCCCTCCCAGGGAATTTGTCATGTTCCACAAGGGCTATCATGACAGATATACTAGGCTTTTCCTGTGATGAACTCTGTTGTTGCCAACACTTAACAGGCTTCCAGTGGGATGTGCCAAATTTGTATACCTTCCTCGATGTTAAGGAATCAGAGACTGCCTCTCTCTCTCTCTCTCTCTCTCTCTCTAGTTCCTAAGGACCTGTGAGATTACTCTGCTGTTAGAGAGTTACATGCCATGACAGTGTTGTGCTGGCATACGCCAGCATAAAGTAATTATTGCAACATTAGCCTTCCAAATTAAAAGACAGAAAGAAGGAAATTCTCTCATATGTAAACATACGGATTACTTGGAAGAAAGCATGATCTGAATAAAATGCTGATCCATGGAATGCAATGGAAAAATAGCCAGGGCATTTATATTATATGCATTTGGAATCAATTTTTCCTTGACTAGCAGAACATATGTACAGAACAAATAGTTCTCAGATTGGATTGATTCATTAGCTTGGGCTTTCGGGTGTATTGGGAATGCTGCAGCAGAAAATTAGGAATTATTTTCTTTAATTATGATGTGCACTTTGTTACCAAAGACTCATTTCTGAAATTTATGGGCTATGATTCTGGGGGAAACATTTAAACAGCCTTCAAAACGAAAAAGAAAAAGAAAAGTCTAGTTCTGGAATTCATGTGTTTTATTACGTTGTTTGTGCCATTCTGAAATAGCTGTTCTAAATGTTTGATCCACGCGCTAAACGCTTTGGAAAGTTGTGGGGTTGCATTTGATTTAGGGAATGGTTGAGCTCTTTATTTACAGAGAAAAGGGGGGAAGCTATTGGGAACATACAGAAGCATAGCCATGTCTGTCTGTAAAAACAACAAAGAATTGTGCGGCACCTTTTTCAATTTTATTATGGCATAAGTTTTCATGGACTATTACATCAGTTGCATAGTCCTCAACTGGCAAGTTTATATAATACAGGAGGGGGAATGTGTACACTGGGAAAGTACATAGAGGCCCCAGAAATTATGGATATCTACTATCATCCAACTCACTCAGTGATATAACTAGCTGCTTAATAGGGTTATGAATGAAACGTCTGATGATCAGGCCAATGGCCCATCTAGTTCTCACAGTGGCCAGTGCCGGATTTACGAATAAGCCAAACAAGCTATAGCTTAGGGCCCCACTCTCTTGGGGGCCCTCAAAAAATTTAAAGGAAAAAAACCCTGGATGTACATTTCCAAAATATAAGATAAAAAACAAATAAAATAAAGCTTATATACAGCAACAGTTTTTTGTGTTGTGTAGGTTCCTAAGATGTAAGTAATGGGCCCCGCCTGCTAGCCTGCTCCCTAAAATATCACTGGTTTGCTCATTTCTATATATAGGGTGCCTACATTCTGCATGGACTGGTTGCATGGCATCGTGCAAATGGCTTTAGATACCTATTAGGTCCATAAATTACCATATAGCATATATGCAACACCAAAAAAACAGCGACAATTTGTTGTTGACAAAGGACAGCTGGACATATAAAGGGCCCCATTACCTGTAGTAGCTTAGGGCCTCATCAAACCTAAATCCAGCCCTGACAGCGGCTGTGATACATTTTACCCTTGTAGAGGTAAATTTCAGCCCAATGGATAGGTTGACCCCCTTTATAAAGATACTTTTGCCCTAATCTAGAAAGAGAGCCACCCAAGGGATGCATGCTTTGGTTTATGTGCATGTACATGGTGGCATTTATCTATGCCCATCGAACTGCTTGAATGTGATCTTTGATATGGCCAATTACATAAGACAAGTCTTGTTGGATCAGACCAATGGGCCCATCTAGTCCAGTATTTTGTTCTTACAGTGGCCAACCAGATGTCTATGGGAAGCCCACGAGAAGGTGCATTCCCCAGTTGTGATTTCAGCAAATGGTTTTCAGAGGCATGCTGCCTCTGACTGTGGTGGTAGAACACACACATCAGAGTTAGTAGCTGCTGATAGATTCATCCCTCATGATTTTGTCTAATCCAGGCTTCCTCAACCTCAGCCCTCCAGATGTTTTTGGCCTACAACTCCCATGATCCCTAGCTAGCAGGACCAGTGGTCAGGGATGATGGGAATTGTAGTCTCAAAACATCTGTTGGGCCGAGGTTGGATTCAGGCAACAAGAGATGATGTGTGTGACTAGTTGCACATCAGTAGAGCTGGTCAGTGGCCTTTATCTAAACAAGATCTGTGATACAATAGTGATGAAAACTGCAAGCAGTGTTCCATTTTTCAGTAGTGCTAATTCGTTAACTATTACTTCAGTAATTTTGCAGGCAAATCCTATTTATCTTTTTTAAAAAGCAACAACTATTAAGCCCCATTGAGTTCAGTGAGGCTTACTCCTAATAAGTGCACATATAGGACTGCAGCCTTAATGTGCAATGTGCTTTCAGATTTTGGTTTTGTGGGGTTTTTTTTGAGGGAGGAGGGGAGTTACATTTTTAAGATATGTACAGTTTTCTTACATTTTTAAAAAAAGAAACAATGAAGACTTTATTATATGCAGCAGTTGGGGGCATTACTAGGTACTCTGGGACAGATGCCCATGGTGCAAGTGTTTTGTTGTGTTACATTGCATAAAAATACCCTAATTTATCTGTATAGCTCCCCCTGGGAAATTAAGATGGGTGGCAGCGGCTGGGAACTCACGCACCCACTTGGTTATTACGTCGCCTCAATGTGAGTCTCCCCTTCCACCTGGTCTAGAAGCTGCAGCTGGTCCAAAATGTTGTGATCGGACTATTGATGGGGTCAGACTACCGCCAGCACAGCACACTAGTGCTTAAAAGCTTGTACTAGGTATCCAGGTTCAAGGTTCTTGTAGTAATGTACAAGGCCATTAGCAACTTGGGCCCAGGATAACGCGCAAGTACTCATTAGGGTATTTGGGTCTCTTCCTCCATGACATCTGAAGCAGGAGAGTCCCTGCAGGTCCTGGACTGGTGTCTAGATGAAGGCAAATAAGCTGAGCTTGAATCCCAGCAAGATAAAGGCTCTGTGGGTGAGTAGATCTTGTGTGTGTCAGGCTTCAGCTGGTTAGACAACTGCGGCTGTTCCTGGACCAGGGCTGCTTGTCCACAGTGATTTAGGAACCGCTAACTTCAGAACTGGACTACTCCAATGCACTCTGCATGGGGCTTCCCTTTTGCTTGATGTTAGTGCAAAATTCTACAGCATAATTGCTTACAGGAGTGAGAGTCTGTAAGTGTGTTGCACCTGTGCTCAAACATCTGCTCTGGCTGCCAGTTCAATACCAGGTGGAGTTAAAAGTGTTACTACTGGTATATACATCCCTGACTGGCTTGGGACCAGTTTACTTAAGGGATTGTCTTACCTTATATGTGCTGTCTCAATCAGTCTACAGAACTTGACTTCTACAAGTGTGATGCAATGTCCATTCTGCAGTCATGGCCTTAGTCTAGCAGCACTTGCAGTTTGGGCAGGTGCCATCTTTGTGTTCTTCTAAATGTCTGTTGAAAACATTTCTGGTTGGGTGAGTATTCGGACACATGGTTAGTTACCTGTTTAATTGTTTTTAGATGTTTTTAACAATTATATATATTAATTTTAATTGCATTTCCCCCCAGATATGTTTCCTGCCCTGGGGTGCTTTTTTTTGGGGGGGGGGATATTTGATAAGAAATACCTGATCACTTGTGGGTAAAAGCCTCAGCGCCTAGGGCTTGCCGATCGAAAGGTCGGCGGTTCGAATCCCCGCGGCGGGGTGCGCTCCCATTGCTCGGTCCCAGCGCCTGCCAACCTAGCAGTTCGAAAGCACCTCCGGGTGCAAGTAGATAAATAGGGACCGCTTTCTAGCGGGAAGGTAAACGGCGTTTCCGTGTGCGGCTCTGGCTCGCCAGAGCAGCGATGTCACGCTGGCCACGTGACCCGGAAGTGTCTCCGGACAGCGCTGGCCCCTGGCCTCTTGAGTGAGATGGGCGCACAACCCCAGAGTCT